GGGGGGCTGGGGGGCCGGTGGGGGCGGGCTCGGGCTTGGCGGGGTCTGAGCCCGGTGCGAGGCCGGCCGGCGAGGGGAGGGACTGGCTTGGATGGGGCGGGGCCTGCGGGGGCGTGGCCTGGGCGGGGCCGGGAAGGGCCGAAAGGGGTGTGGGCTGGGCGGGGCGCGTCTGGAAGCGCCCTCAGCCTCGTGGTGGACGGCGGCGCGAGCTGGCTGCTGCGCGGGGTACCTCCTCCTGCCCCTTCCCTGCCACACCCCCGTCTATACTCCCATGTCGTGTCCAGGCAGCCTCCCCTCATCCACCAAGATCCCACTCCCGTGTCGCCCATGCGGCTTGGACACATGGAGTCAGCAGTCCCCGGCCCTTGTGATTCTTGCCTGGTGCGCCCCTGGTCCTAGCGCATGTCACGCTCCCGTGTCTTGTCCCCACCAGCCTGGCGCTCCTGGAGGGCAGGAGCCTGCTGTCAGCTCAGGGTGCACAGTCTGAGGTGGTGCTGGGCACGGGGGCCGTGCACACGCCGGTCCCCCAGGGGGTGCCTCTCTGGGGCGGGGCTGAGGGCCCCCCGCCGTCGCAGTCAGTCAGGCCCCAGCCCTCTGAGGCACGCCCGCCCTCTCTGCCGCAGTTCTCCCAGCAGGAGGAGAAGAGGCAGAAGTCGGAGCGGCTGCAGCAGCAGCAAAAACACGAGAACCAGACGCGGGACATGCTGGCGCAGTGCGAGAGCAACATGAGCGAGCTGCAGCAGCTGCAGGTACCCCCCGCCCGTCCCAGCCTGCCTCGGTTTCCCCAAGGCCCCCAGCTCACAGGGGGCCAGAGACTCCATGTCAGGGAGGGGTCCTAGTCAGATCAGCGCAGGCGGGCTGGCCCCATCCTGATGTGCTGCCCTCGGCAGTGTGACACTGGGCAAATCACACTGCCCTCCTGACTTCCCTAAAAACGAGCCTGGGGTGGGTTGGGGTGATTGCCCCTGTTTTGCGGGGTTGGGGTAAGGACTTGGGAATGAGATGTTGGCGCAGATGGGCCTTGCCGGGGCCTGGCGGTGGGTGTGCTGCTGGGTTTCTCAGCCGGTGTGTTTTGGGGAAAGGTGGCTGCGGTGTGGCCGAGGCCGCGGTGGCCACTTTTCCTGTGGAAGTCCCTGACCTCTCCGAGGTTCCTGGCTCCTGCATTTGTCTCCCTGCTGAGGGACCTGGTGCCAAGAACTGGTACTCGGAGCCCTCTTGTGGGCATGGGACCAGCTCCAACCTCTGTTGACCTCAGGAACCTGCTCGGGCTGTTGGGCCCATCTGGTAATTTCTGGAGAGGCAGAGGGGCATGGGAAACATTCCAGGCACTGAATTTTAGGCAGGCCACTCAGCTTCCACATCTGTCTTCCATCTCTGCTTTGTGGAGCCATGGTGAGGATCAACTGAGAGAACCGTGTACAGTACCAAGCACAGGTCCTGGCAGGTCGTAGGAGCTCAAGAGAACCATGTAGAGCAGCGGTCCCCAACCTTTTTGGCATCAGGGACTGGTTTCATGGAAGACGGTTTTTCCGTGGACGAGGCCGGTAGTGGGAGGTGATGTGCAAAACGTGCAGTCGAACCTCACTGCTAACGCTAGTCTGTATTTGCGGCAACGTGAGCTGTGGGGTGTGGCTGCATATACAGGTGAAGATTTATTCGCTCCCAAGTGCTCGCCTCCTGCTGTGTGACCCAGTTCCTAACAGACCAGGGACCAGTACTGGTCCATGGCCTGGGGGTTGGGGACCCTTGGTGTAAAGCACCAAGCACAGGTCTTTACAGACTGTAGTTCAGTGTTTCCGGGAGCGTATTTCCTGCCAAACCGGTTTCTAAACTCCAGCAACCCTTAGTTTGAAATCCACAATGAAAATCCCCCCCAAGAGGTTTGATTTGTTCAGCCCAATAGGGTCATGGTATCTGGATAAAGGCACTTTCTCCTGCTTTGTAAGCTCCTTATAACATGATAGATTCCCTGCAAGAAATCCATAGGGACTTGTCCCTTCTGCCTGCAAGAGAGACTTAAATGTTGTAAAGCAGATAACTGACTTCAGAGAGAGGACCGTGAGGTTGGGAGCATCTCATCTATGTCCGTGGTCCCTTCCCTTGCCACAAAGCTCTCTTGAGGAAATTATATGTAATGTAGGAAATGATGTACATATAAAAATGTAGCCAGATGTGGTAGCTCACACCTGTAATCCCAGTACTTTGGGAAGCAGAGGCGAGAGGATTGCTTGAGTTTAGGGGTTCAAGACCAGCCTGAGCAACTTGGTGAGACCTCGTCTCTACAATAAATCAAAAAATTTAGCCGGGCATGATAGCACATGCCTGTGGTTCCAGCTACTTGGAAGGCTGAGGCAGAAGGATTACCTGAGTCCAGCAGGTTGAGGTAGCCATGTGCGTGCCACTGCACTCCAGACTGGGTGACAGAGTGAGACTCCCACTAAAAAAAAATAATATTAATAAGTATTTATATGAGAGGGGACCCAAAAAACGCGGAATTATTTTTGGAAGGCGAGCCCCTTACAGTACAGGTTTCCCCTGCTGGGTTCTAGGAACCCATTGGCATTAGTACATCAGCAAGTGTTGTGAGAGGCTGTGTTTGGCTTCATTGAATTATTTCTTGGAGACTCTTTCAACATGTTTGCCCATTTCATGATGGGTGATTTATGAGTGCGCCTGCCCACACCCGCTAAGTGTTCAGCAGTTTTTGACCAAATATGCCCTGACTCCTGTGTCTCACCTTCCCTGTTCACCCGATCTCACCTCAAACGACTTTTTGTGTTTCCCTGGATGAAGAAAGTTCTCACTGGGCATGGAGGCTCACGCCTGTAATCCCAGAACTTTGGGAGGTGGAGTAAAGAGGATTGCCTGAGCCCACGGGTTCCAGACCAGCCTGGGCAACTTGGCAAGACCTCATCTCTAGGATAAATAAAAAAAATTAGCTGGGCGTGGTGGCATGTGCCTGTAGTTCCAGCTACTTGGAAGGTTGAGGAAGAAGGATCACCTGAGCCCAGCAGGCTGAGGCTGTGGTGGCCGTGAGCGTGCCACTGTACTCTAGCCTGGGCAAGAGAGTGAGAATCTGACTCAAAAAAATAAAGAAAGAAAGTAAAGAAAAAAATCCTCAAAGGGAAACATTTTGTCTGTGTGGAAGAGGTGAAACAAAAACAGACAGAAGCACTAAAAGGCATCAGAATTGACAAGTTAAAAAAACTGTTTTGAACAGTGGAAAAGTGCTTGATAGGTGTATAGCATCAAACAGAGAGTCCTTTGAAGGTGGCTGAAGTTTAAACATGTAAGAATAAATACACAGTTTTTTAATAAATAAATTCCAGGTTTTTCTGGGTCCCCCACTTATACATACAGGTTTTCTTAGCTCAGGGTGCCAGAACAAAATACCATGGTGGCTTGAAGAACAAATTTGCTGGGCCCAGTGGCTCATGCATATAATCCCAGCCCTTTGAGAGGCAGAGGCGAGAGCATAATCCGAGCCCAGGAGTTCGAGACTAGCCTGGGCAACTCAATGAGAACTCGTCTCGACAGTAAATAAAAAAATTAGCCAGGCATGGTGGTGTGCACTTGTAGTCCCAGCTACTTAGAAGGCTGAACCCAGCAGGTTGAGGCTGTGGTGGCCTGGGATTATAGGCATGAGCACTTTGGGAGGCTAAGATGAGAGGATTGCTTGAGACCAATCCTGAGCCTGAACAACTTGGCGAGACTTCATCTCTACAATAAATAAAAAAATTAGCCGGGCGTGGTGGCACATTCCCGTAGTTCCAGCTACTTGGAAGGCTGAGGCGGAAGGATCGCCGGAGCCTAGCAGGTGAGGCCGCGGTAGCCGTGAGCATGCTATTGCCCTCCAGCCTGGGTGACAGAGTGAGACTCCAACCTAGCTCAATGTGAAATTTAGGGGGCCACAGCTCAGTCTATAGTACAGATGCTTAATTCAGCATTATTTAGAATAGCGAAAATTAGAAGAGCCCTCAGCAGCCAAAAACAGAGGCGTGTTTAAGTAAATTTGATTAAAATGCACTGTGGGATAATCTGTAGGCCTTAAAATGATGATTATGTGAAACATTGCTTCTTTGTAGAAATGTTTGCATTATAATGTTAAGTGTGTGGAGGGGACAGGCTTCAGAATATATATAGGGTGAACTAAACAGCGTATGGGGCATAGCCTGGCAGGAAATACAGCTAAATGTTTGTAGTGGCTGCTTCTGTGTGATGGGGTGCGGGCATGTATTGTGTTTATTTATTGTTAATAGTCTTATTGCTTTGTTTTTTTGGGTTTTTTTAGTTGGAGTCTAGTCTGTTGCCCAAGCTAGAGTGCAATGGCACGCTCACAGCTACCACAGCCTCAACCTGCTGAGCTCAGATACTTCCCCCGAGCCTTCTAGGTAGCTGGAACTGTAGGCACGCGGCTAATTTTTTGGTAAATTATAGAGACGAGGTCTCACCAAGTTGCCCAGGCTGGTCTTGAACACCTGGGCTCAGGCAATCCTCTTGTCTCTGCCTCCCGAAGTGCTGGGATTACAGGCATGAGCCACCACACCTGGCTTTATTGTTTTGTTAAAAATGATATATATCTGCCGGGCTCGGTGGCTCAGCCTGTAATCCCAGGGCTTTGGGAGGTCGAGGTGAGTGAATTGCCTGAGCCCACGGGTTTGAGACCCACTTGGGCAACTTGGCGAGACCCCATCTGTACAATAAATCAAAAAATTAGCCGGGTGTGGTAGCGCGCTCCTGTAGTTCCAGCTACTTAGAAGGCTGAGGCGGAAGGATTGCGGAGCCCAGCAGGCGAAGCTGCGGTGGCCAGGAGCGGCCACTGCACTCCAGTCTGGGTGACAGAGTGAGACTCCAACTCAAAAAAAAAAAAAAATGATATATGTCCTTTTTTGAAAATTTTAAACAATGCAAAAAAGCACAAAGAAGGAAGTTGCAGAATTACTGCAGATTTCACCACACAGTTAATAAGAGCTATTAACACTAAATTTCTGGAATGTTCCTCCAGGGACCTCTTGGTATTTACATATAGAGTTTTGTACAAATGGGGTTTATAATCGAGGATAAGAAGTAATAAATTGCTGGGCACAGTGGCTTACACCTATAATCCCAGCATGTTGGTTGAGGCTGGAGGATCATTTGAGCCTAGGAATTTGAGACCAGCCTGGGTAACAAAGTGAGACTCTGTCTCTCCAAAGAAATAGAACAATTAGCCACATATAATAGCTCATGCCTGTAGTCCCAGCTATTCAGGAGGCTGAGGCAGGTGGATTGCTTGAGTGAAGGAATTGGAGGCTATGGTAAGCTGTGATCAGGCCACTGTATCCCAGCTTGGGTGACAGAGTAAAACCTGTCTCAAAAAAAAAAATATGTGTGTGTGTGTGTGTGTGTGTGTGTGTGTATGAAGCAATAAATTGCTGGAGTTGGTGCCCTCATGGCTGTACCAAGAGGTGTGTCTCACCCTTCAGTGCCTCTGATTGTCTTACTTGTTCTTCTTGGCATTTTTTCCAGAATGAAAAGTGTCACCTTCTGGTAGAGCACGAAACCCAGAAGCTGAAGGCCCTGGACGAGAGCCATAACCAGAGCCTGAAAGAATGGCGGGACAAGCTCCGGCCGCGCAAGAAGGTAACTGACCCTGTCTGGGTTGGGGGGCTCAGTGGTAGGCTCTCCTCCGTGCTGTGCCAAGGTGTCTGCCTAGGACATCTTAGGTCTCCTGTTTTTGGTGGACTATTGCTTTGTGGCATCTGTAAGATGGATCTCCAGCCCGAGAGGCTGAGGAACTTTCTAACCCTCTGTGGCTCAGTGCCTGTGACTTCCACCTTTGCAAGGGCAGCCTGCTTGTTGCACTGGTCCAGATGCCTTGTTTAGCTCCCTGTCATAGACTGAAGGCTTGCTGCTATGTTGGATACATTGAGGATGCAGCAGTGAGCAGGAGCCAGCCATGCTGTCAGGCTAGAGGCCCAGCTTGTGGAATTTTCTCTTAGAGGAAGTTATTCTGGGAAGTCAGAACCCAACATCAGATAGGTTACTTTCCACCTTAGTTTTCTATTGCTGTGTGACAAACTGCCTTACATTTGACAGCTTAACCCATGTATTATCTTCAGAAGTCTGGGTGAGGTCGACAGGGTCTTCTGCTCAGGGTCTCACCAGGCTGAAGTCGAGGTGTCGGCTGGGCTAGGCTCCTGTCTGGAGGTTCTGGGAAGAATCACTGCTGAGTCCATTCAGCTTTTGACAGAATCCACTTCCTTGTGGCTGTGAGCCTGAGGTCCCTGTATCCTTGCTGGCTGTCAGCCAGGGGCTGCTTTCTGTTCTTTCTGGTATTCCTTGCCCATGACTCCCTCCACTGCCAAATAGCAAGCACGCATTGAGGCCTCATGCTTTGAATCCCTCTGACGTCTCCTTTTGGAGAAAAGGCCCCCCTTTATTTATTTATTTTATATATTTTATTTTATTTATTTTTATTTATTTATTTATTTATTTTGAGTTGGAGTCTCACTCTGTTGCCCAGACCGGAGTGCAGTGGCACGCTCCCGGCCACCACAGCCTCAACCTGCTGGGCTCCAGCGATCCTTTCGCCTAAGCCTTCCGAGTAGCTGGAACTACAGGCATGCGCTACCACGCCCGGCTGATTTTTTGATTTATTGTAGAGATGAGGTCTCACCAAGTTGCCCCGGCGGGTCTCGAACCTGCGGGCTCAGGCAATCCACTCACCTCAGCCTCCCAAAGACATGGGATTACAGGCTGAGCCACCGAGCCCGGCTTAACTTTATTTTATTTGAGTTGGAGTCTCACTCTGTCACCCAGACTGGAGTGCAGAGGCCGCTCCCAGCCACCGCAGCCTCGACCTGCTGGGCTCCGGCGATCCTTCCGCTCAGCCTTCCAAGTAGCTGGAACTACAGGTGCGTGCTACCACACCCGGCTAATTTTTTGATTTATTGTAGAGATGAAGTCTCACCAAGTTGCCTAGGCAGGTCTTGAACCCGCGGACTCAGGCAGTCTACTCACCTCAGCCTCCCAAAGGCGCGGGATTACAGGCTGAGCCACCAAGCCCGGCTAAAGGCCCCCCTTTAAAAAGGCCCATGTGGGTGGGGCCTGGTGGCTCATGCCTGTCATCCCAGCACTTTGGGAGACTGGGACCAGAGAATTGCTTGAGCCCAGGAGTTCAAGACCAGCCTGGGCAACATAACCTCATCTCTACAAAAAAATTCTAAAAAATTAGCTGAACATGGTGGTTTACACCTGTAGTCCCAGCCACTTGGGAGACTGAGGTGGGAGTATCACTTGAGCCCAGGAGAGCAGGGCTGTGGTGAGCCATGATCATGCCACAGCACTCCAGCATAGAGTGAGTCCCTGACTCAAACAAATAAACAAACAACAGTGCAAAAGGCTAATTGTGTCATAGTATTCGGGAACCTGACTTTGATGAACCTCTCCTGCCCCATGGAAGGGTTTTGGGCCTCCTCAGGGTCCACAAGCCACACTTTGAGAGCCAGGCTCTTGCCCCATCTCCTGTGAGTCTCACCCCCCACCTGTACTCTGAACAGATTTCTGTTCCCAAATAGATCTCTGTGCCATATGTGCTGCCCTCCTCTCTGTTGGGCCTGTGCCCAGGCTGTTCCCTTTGCCAGGAGTTTTGTGCCCACCAGCCTTTGCCTGGCCACCTTGTTTGTCTTCAGTGTTCAGAGCTTCTCCTGACACCTCCCTGGCCCTGTCATGGCATTTACCCCGTGATATCGCCTTTGCCATTGTTAGCTCGATCATTTGTTCATTTATTCATCTGTGTGTTCGTTCACAGATATTTCTTGAGCACGTGCTAAGTGCCCGGCACTGTTTTAGGCACTGGAGATATTGAACAAAAGGGGCAAGTGCCTGCCCTCAGGGAGCTGACCTTCTAGAGAAGGGCCATGGAGCAGGGAAGGAAAAAGTGTGGGGGTGGCCATGGGAGCAGGAAGGCCTCATGGAGAGGATGGTAACATCCAAGCAAAGATTGAAGGAAAGCAGAGAGGGACAATGCAGCTCTCTGGGGGATTTATTTACTTATTTATTTTTGAGTTGGAGTGTCACTCTGTTGCCCGGACTGGAGTGCAGTGGCACGTTCCTGGCCACCGCAGCCTCGACCTGCTGGGCTCTGGCGATCCTTCTGCCTCAGCCTTACAAGTAGCTGGAACTACAGGGGCATGCTACCACATCCAGCTCATTTTTGATTTACTGTAGAGAGAGGTCTCACCAAGTTGCCCGGATGGGTCTCGAGCCCACGGGCTCAGGCAATCCACTCACCTGGCCTCCCAAAGTACTGGGATCACAGGTTGAGCCACCAAGCCCAGCTGGGATTTCAATATTAATCACAGTTGAAGCCATACTATAATCCTAGCACTTTGGGAGGTGGAAGCCAGAGGAATGCCTGAGCCCAGGGATTTGAGACTAGTCTGGGCAACTTGATGAAACCTTGTCTCTACAATAAATACAAAAAATTTAGCAGGGCACGGTAGTGCATGTCTGTAGTTCTAGCTACTTGGAAGGCTGAGGTGGAAGGATTGTCTGAGCCCAGCAGGTCAAGACTATAGTGGTTGTGAGTATGCCACTGCACTCCAGCCTGGTGACACAGCGAGACTGACTCAAAAAAAAAGATAGCTGGGCATGGTGGCTCACACCTGTGATCTCAACACTTTGGGAGGCTGAGGCAAGAGGATTGCTTGAGCCTAGGGGTTTGAGACTAACTTGGGCAACTTGGTGAGACCTCATCTCTATAGAAATAAAAAAATTAGCTGTGCCTGCCTGTGGTTCCAGCTACTTGGAAGGCTGAGGTGAGAGGATCGCCGGAACCCAGCAGGTCAAGGCTGCAGTGGCCATGAGTGTGCCTCTGTACTCCAGCCCGGATGACAGAGTGAGACTCCGGCTCAAAAGAAAGAAAGAAAGAAAAAAGATAAAATAAAATGTTAATCACAACTTAAAAGTCCTTTACAGCGACATTTAGACTGATGTTTGAGCAAACAACTGGGTACCATGGCCTCGCCAAGTTGACATATAAAATTAACCATCATGGCCTTAGTGTGGTCGTTTGTGAAGTGGAGATATCAATACTGTGCAGTGTCATGCCGGAAGGCACCATCACACAGTACAGGCCAAGGACGTCTTCATTCTCTTCCACTCTTCTGTACTCTGAGGAGAGTCCTGCGGAGTTGCCCTTGATCTTGATGCCCGTGTGTCCTGAGGTCCTAAGGCGCATTCTGCCATTGTGCGTCAGTTCTGCTTGCATAACTGTGGTCTGGATGGGAGGTGCTGCCCACCTCAGCTGTGCATGGCCTTGGAAGTCCTTGAGTTGGGGTTTCTTTCCCTCCTTGTGCTAATGGACCTTTGTGGCTGGATGCTGGCCAGGGTCCCAGGCCTTCCTGTTAGCAGGCCCCACATTCAACCAGTTTCCATAACCCTGTCCTCCTGGGATTTTTGATACTTGACACTCAAATCAATAACGCTTTAGCCGAGCATGGTGGTGCATGCCTGTAGTCCCAGCTCCTCAGGAGGCTGAGGCAGGAGGATTGCTTGAGCCCGGGAGGTTGAGGCTGCGGTGAGCCATGATCATGCCAGTGCACTCCAGCCTGGGCAACAGAGTGAGACCCTGTCTCTAAATAAATATTTTAAAAAATTCAATAGCGCTCCTGTTGATACAGGTTGATACTAGAATCAGGAAATAAGTGTTCCCATGGTTCTTTTACCTGGGAGTTCCGTGCCCTTGGCATATTCTGAGAGAGTTTGGTCATGAATTATCACATTGCCTCTAGCAACTGCCTCCTGTCTTAGATGGCTTCAAGGGAGGCCTGGCACAGGGGAGGCCCCAGGAACATGTGACTGGGAAGCTGCCATCAGATGTTGTCTGCGGGGTTTGCCTCTTTGCAGAATTCCTTGTGGAATTCTTCTGTTGTTAGTTACCTGGGTTGTTGCTGGAACTGTGACCGGGGTGATGATTTTCATTCTGCAATAAACTGTCTTTTATATGCTTGCATTAAAATCAGCAACCTTGAGCTCCCTGCCTGGCGTGGGGCAGGAAAAATGGTTGCACATTGTGGAGTATTTTTAGAAAAATTGAGATTTATTTCTTTCAAGTAAGTACAAAATATCTGATAGAGTCAAAAAAGCGTGCTTGGGACCAGGTAGGATGGCTCATGCCCATAATCCCAGCATTTTGGGAGGCTGAGGCTGGAGGATTGCTTGAGCCCAGGAGTTTGAGGCCAGCCTGGGCAGTGTAGTGAGACTTTGGCTCTACAAAAAAATTGGCTGGGCATGGTGGTACATGCCTGTAGTCCCAGCTACTCAGGAGGCCGAGGCAGAAGCATCACCTGAGCCCAGGAGGTCAAGGCTGTGATGAGCTGTGATCATGCCACAGCACTTCAGCCTGGGAGACAGAGTGAGACTCCAACTCAAAAGATTAAAAAAAGGCCAGGCTCGGTGGCTCAGCCTGTAATCCCAGCAATTTGGGAGGCCGAGGCGAGAGGATTGCCTGAGCGGGTTTATTCATAAATATAGAAGGAAAAAACTTTATTCATAAATATAGGTGGAAGGCCAGATTTGGCCCACAGGTAATAGTTCACTAACCCTGCTTTAAGAAAAGAAATATTAGCCGGGCTCGG